TAGTGTTGTTTGAGGCACATAAGTTTTGATTTTGGTGAAATCCATTTTATCTGTTTTTTTCTTTTTCTTTTGTGGCCTGTACTTTTAGAGTCATACTTAAGACCATTGCCAAATTCAAGTTCATTACGATTTTCTCCTATGTTTCCTTCTAACAGCTTTATAGTTTTAGCTCTTCAATCCATTTTTGTATATGGTACAAGGTAAGGGTCCAACTTCATTCTTTTACTTGTGATGTCCGATTTCCCAGCACCATTTATTGACCGATTGTTCTTTCCCCATTGAAGGGTCTTGGCACCCTTGTCATAAGGCAGCTGGCTGTATATATAAGAGGGTCTATTTCTTTGTTCTGTTCCACTGATCTATATGTCTGTCCTTACTACACTGTTTTGGTTGCTGTAGCTATAGTAAGTTTTGATATTGGGAAAAGTAAGTGCTCCAACTTTGTTCTTTTTCAAGGTTGTTTTGATTAGGGTGTCTTAAAATTGCTACACATTTTAGGATAGGTACTTCGTGCCTTATCCCATCTTCACAAGAGCTTGAAGAGGTCGGTCTTAATATCCCCATTTTACAGTTGAGGGCATCGAAACAGCTATTTAGCAATTTCCCCAAGGTCACATGCAGCTGCCTGGAACCGGGACTTGATCTTGAGTCTGTCTGGGATCAGAATCAGGACTTATGCCGATTCGCCAGTCAGTTTTTCTTGGAAGCTCATTTAATGCTGACAGTGACCTGAGGGGCAGGTGTGGTGGATGCAACCAATGCTCGTTCAGATCTACTTCTTACCTGCTTATGGGTAGCTAGGTTATGGTTCTGTAACTTGTAAAGTTAGGCAGCATTCTGTGGTGAGTTCTGGCCGATAAAATGTAGCCAGAAGAGACATGTATCATTACTGGTCTGAACCACTTAATTGCTGGTGTTGCCTCTCCAGCCCTGTCTTTGCCTGCTGTAGACAAGTTAGAAGCCTTGTCTGAAGGTACTGGTTATAGGTTATAAATTGGGAAGCCTTTGTTTCCTTGAGTCCCTGAGGAATGACTACTACAATAGAGCATAGTTCTTTATTGACCTATGTTGTACATGTGGTGGGTATGAGAATAAACCTTTATTATGGCAGATTTGGGGCTTGTTTGTTACTGCAGCAAAACCTAGCCTATCCTGACTTGTAAAACAGGCAGTGCTATAATTCCTGTTCTGTACATAGGAAACAGCCCTTGGAGCTTGCCCCATGCCATACAACTAATTTAGTTTTAGAAATAGGGATGGAACTCACATCCCTAACCCTGATTTTAGATTCTTTCCCACTGGCTTCCAACAGTGTGGGTAGCCTTCTGAAAGAGGCTGACCTGACATGGGCTCCTGATGGGATGCCAGAAGGATCCTTTTTCTCAGAGCAACTCTCTCGCATCCTACTGTTCCTGTGCCCCAAATCCTACTACTGGCCTACATTTAAAAAGCATAATTTCCTGTGATAACGCAGATGCCTTCATTGTGGAGATGGTCTGCTCATAGTGTGTGGGTGCAGCCTGTTTCAGAGATTTCACTGATCTTTGCCAGTTTTATTTATATTTTTATTAAACTTTTTTTTTAATCGATTTTAGAGAGAGAGGAAGAGAGTGGGAGAGAGAGACAGAAACATCAATGAGAGAAAACATTGATTGGCCACCTCCTGCATGCCCCCCACTGGGGATCGAGCCCACAACCTGGGCATGTGCCCTGAATGGGAATCGAACTGGTGACCTCTTGGTGCAGGTCTACGCTCAACCCCTGAGCCACACCAGCTGGGCAGATCTTTGCCAGTTTCAGAAGACCGGGCTTTCCTGGCAATGTTTTATTAGAAGAGAGAACATGTATATGGTCTGATGGTTCTCGCACAGCTTTGGATCAGGGAGACCCCAGTTTGAGTCCTGCTTACTAGCTCTGTGACCTAAGGTAAACCAATTATTCTCGTGAAGCCTCAGTTTTCTCAGCTGTAAACTGAGGCCAATAAGAAAGAGGTTATGTTCAATTAGTTTAACCATATAAACCACAATAAATAGTCACTACTATTGGGGAAAGACTGTGCACATTTGGACACCAGGAGTCTTGTCTAGTAGGTGACAGGGAGGTGTAAGAGCAGCAGAACGTTTTAGGATGACCCAGCTGGTGGCCTTGTGCAGGGTGGATTGGGGGCAGGGCAGAGGAGGGGACCAGTCAGAAAGTCATGTACGCAGTGGTCATGCAGGTCCAGGGCAGTGCAGGGACCGTGGGTGTGCTGGGGAAGGACAGCTGTGACAGCCCCGGGAGGGACGAGCTGGGCAGTGGTGACAGTCGCACCGGCCCTCTCAGCATGCCTCAAGTCACCTGTGAGGACAGAGTCGATGTCACCCTCTGGCCCAGCAAGCCCAGGCCCTGCCCTGAGTTCTGCGTGTCTATCCACGGCCTGCAGACCAGCGGCGGGCGCGCTGTGCGGCAGGCAGTTTGCAGTGGCCGATGCTGATGTCCACAGCGTACAGAGAAGAAGAAAGCTCTCGAGGACCAGCCGGGACACCGAGAGCAGCGCTGACAGCTCGGCCACGCTCGGAGCTGGCTCTTCCCTTTGAAGTCACTCCACTGGCTTGAGGCTCACTGACCTGGGCGCCGCTGGGGTCCCCCTCCTGCGTGCACAGGAACCAAACCTGCCTGGGCCATTTCTCCAAGTCAGCTGAAAAGTTTCTCATCTCTCTGCAAAGTGTCAGGTGTCTTCCAGTGCCTTAAAAGGCGATTTTCTAAAAGCAGATCAAACAGTTTTGACATTTGCTGCCGAGCCATTTAAAGTCCTACTACAGGCTGGTCGCTGGCCTCGGGGCTCCACCAGCTGCAGATAAAGGTTGAAGCGGCATCTCTGGTCACAGACGCGAGGAGCCTGCTCTTGGGAGCCGCATCCCAGAAGAAACGTGTTCTGTAAAAGTTAATCTGCTGCTTTGTCTTGGCCAACAATTTTTTTTTTCCATGAAAGCCAGGCCCTGGCCCCCAATTGCATTCTGCACACACATTTTTTTAATTTGCTGGAATTTGCAAAAACACATCAGTGGTCCCACTGCTTTTGGTTTTTATGTTTAGCAAAATAATCCCACAGCATCGCCTTCAAAGGGCTCCCAGCATCACGTGTTCCCAGCTCCATCCTGGCCTTCCAAGGAGGGAGCTGAACAGTGCTTGGGAGCCCACGAGGAATGCAGGGCCGGGGTCCGCTCGTCCGCAGTGCTGTGAAGGGCTGCTAGCAAGGGCCACCCAAAATGGGCTCACCGACTCAGATGCCTGCAAGGGCCAGGCAAATACAGGAAATGGGCCAAGTGAACCAGCGTGGGGGACAATAAGGAGTGGTGGGGACTGAGGCAAACTGCACATTGCATGCCCTCTCTAACTGGGGCTGCTGGCCTCGGCATGGAACAATTGTTGCCATGTGGGTATGTGGGCCCAATGCCAGGCATTTGGCATTTGTACAATGTAAAATCTGTCCGTTTTAAAATGTTGGCCCAATTCTTTCAAACACTGTGCAGGCCAAAGCAAACATGTCTGCGGGCGGAATCTGGCTGTTGGTATGCACTCTCTGATCAAGGGGCAGAGATAAGGAGTGGGGAGGGCTTTAATCTGAGAGGTCATCCAGTTCAACAGTGTCATTTTACAGCTGGGGAAACTGAGGCCCATCACCTAGAGATCTCATCAACTGCCTCTCTCCTCCAAGATGTAAGACTTAAGAATGTCACTCTCTAGGACTTGCGTTTTTATAAGGCAGACCTGAAAGTCTTCACAGCTCAAAGAAGTGCTCTTCAGGGGTGGAATTTCAGACAAAGGCACAGCATAGTGGGGTGAGGCCTTTTCAAAGGTCCTTCAAGTGCAAGGTGACTATCCACTCTGCCCAGTCCCAGGAGGCTCCTGGGGTAGGTCTCCCCCAGCGATATTTGAGAGAGGTTCCTGTTCTCCCACAAGCTGGGTCCCATGAGCAACTGGATCGCCGGAACTCTGAGGCTCATGTTGGACATTTCCACAGCTGCAGGTCTAGCATGAAATTCCCAAGTGGCTCTGGTTCAGGCTCGGGCCATGATGGAAGCGGGTGCCTCCCTCCCTGGGTACAAGAATCCAAGCTGCAAATATTCCCCCAGGACCTTCTCCGGGCTTGGTCAGAGCAGAGCAGTTTCTTCTGACCGGAGGGTGGCATTCTCGCCTCCTCTGCCCTGCTGGCGTGGCGGCTGATGGTCAGCAGGCCCTCTCCTGCCCCTGTTCCCAACCTTGTTTTTGTCCTGCCCCCACACCTCCTCATGTGCAGCCTGTCAGAGCCCTGACCACCAAATTAGCTCTTTGTGATTTTATTTGGCTTTTATTGGCTCAAGCTGGATGTTGGAGATGGAGCCAGATGTGAGGCTGGGGGACCACTTGAAAGGCCAGGTAATTAGCAGCATCTGCCTTTGCCTTCTTATCTTGACAGGCGGACACACAAAGCCATGACCTGGGAGCTGGGAGGCAGCTGCCTTCTCCACATTAAATGAGGCAAAGGCCAAAGGGGAGGCGTACTTGGCCTGGAATGCCGCCATCTGTGTGTGTGTGTGTGTGCGTGCATGCACACATGTGTACAAACGTGAGTGTATTGAAGAATCATCCTCTCTACCGGTAGCATCTTGCCCCCAAACTCAGAGAGAACCTTCTGCCAACCTCCAAACATGTAAGGTAGAATTATTATTTCCAAATTGAGGGATAATCTACATATAGTGAATGTATGGATCTTAAGTATATAGAGTTGATGAGTTTCCACAAATTAGTAAAACTCATGTTACCCCTATCTCAATGAAGATAAAAGGGTTTCATCACCCCAGAAAGTTCTTTAGGCTTCTTTCCAGCGAACCCTCCCCCTGCCCACACGCAGGCAACCCCGGTTCTGCTTTCTGTCCCCATAGATAGTTTTTGCTCGCTCTTAAATATCATGTCAATGAAATGACAGAATATGAACACAGACATGCAGTGTTTTTATGTCTGGCTTCTTTTGCTCAACATAATGTTTCTGAGGTTCATCCAAGTTGTAACATGTATCAGTCATTTGTTCTGTATCGCTAAGGGTTATTCCGTTGTGCGGATTGTTCCCCAGCTGGTTTATCCATGCTCTGGTGACTTGGGTTGGATACTTGGGCTGCTCCTGGCTTCTGGTTATTATGAATAAAGAAGTACATTGGTTTTTAATGGCTGTGTCACACATTGCCATAAATTTCGTGGCTTAAAACAACATAAATGTATTATTTCCCAGTTTCTATGGGTTAGGTGTCCCGGTACAGGTTAGAGGGGTCCACTGTTCAGGGTCCCAGCAGGCTGAAATCAAGGTGTTGTTCAGGGCTGGGGTCTCATCTGAACCCCCGGGTCCCCTGCTAAGTTTATAAAATTGCTGTGAAGTTTAGTTCCTTGTAGTTGTAGGACTGCAGTTCTCAGCTGAACATCTGTTCCCTGCCACATGGCTCTCTCCACAGCGTGGCGGTTTGCGTCTTCAAGGCCAAAAAGAGCACATCTGCTACCGTTCAAATCTCTCTGACTTCTGTCTCTGACGGCAGGCCCGCTTTTAAAAGCCTCACCTGATCAGGCCAGGCCCACCCAGGGTGGTGTCCCCTTTTGATTAAAGTCAATTGATTAGGGACATCTGCAACACCCCTCTACCTTTGCCATAAAATAGGAGTGCTAGCTCATCTCGTTCACGCTCTGGTCGTGTACACTGGGGGAGGGGCGTCTTGGGGGCCACCTTGAAATTCTGTCTACTGCAAGCAACGATGAACATTCCAGAGTTTTGTTATTTAAGTGTGTATCTTAGAAAAAGTATTTCTGGCCAAACTAAAATAGCACTATCTCACTTAACAAAACAAATAATTATTTGTAAATGTTATTTTATACCTGGTTGATGTTCAGTGAGGGAAGCTGGTTCGTCCAGAGCAGAATCTGGTCCAGGACCTGGCAGTGTCTCTGGGCACACATCCCTCGGTCGCTTTCCAGCCAGCACAATGCCCTTTACTGTGACTGGTTGAAGGGAGTGGGTCCTCACTGTCTGGATCCGTGTGGCTGCTCCCTTTTGTCACCATTTAGCTTGTTCCTTTGTCTCCATTATAGCCTGTGAACCAGAAAATGTGAAGTTTGATGGACCCAGGTAAACACTATTGGCAGGAACACATGGGAGATGCCGAGGGCTTCAAATTGTATAACATGGGGGGGCCTGTGATTTCTGGTTGTCCTACTGTTGGTTGTGCAGGACTGATTTCTGGGTCAGGGCGGGACAAGCTGACCCCTCCAGTTCTGTTTTTTCCCTCCTGGGCCAGAAGGAAATCTTTCAGGTCTTACTTTGCACAGTTCCAATGTCTGATTATGCATCAGCCCTTTAACTAACGGTTTTAACACATCAGTTGAGAATCCTTGCCTGAATCAGTGATTTCGTTAGGGGTCAAGGGTGGACTTTTGGCCCAGACTTTCCATTCTTCGAGGCCAGGGTTATGGTCTGGAACCTGCCTGGCTTTGGCCTCTGGAGGCTTGACCTTCCCTCAGCTGGGACCATCTGGCTTAGACCCTCAGCAGGCCCAGGGGCACAGGGGATGGGGGATGGGGGGCAGTCTGTAGCAGCCTGTGTGCAAGTCAGGCTTCGGGGATCACTTCACGGAAACCTCCAGGAGGCCAGACGGTGTCATGCGGTGTCCCCAGGCCCTGGGCATGCCATGGCTCTGTCCACTGTTTCTTGACAAATCAAGGAATACACTCATGCTAAGCTGATGACTGAATGCTCATCTAGTCCTGCACTAAGCTCCTGAGCTTCGAGACGTGCCTCTGGCTCCGGGTGCCCCAGTCCTTTCTCATGCAGGAGGCACAGCCACGCACTGGGAACCTCTCCGTGGGCCTCTGACTGGTACCCGCCCCTGCAGGGAGCCCACCTTGATGCTGCTGCCCTCCCTCCACCCAGTGCCAGCAAGCCTGGGCTCTGCCTGGGGCAGAGCTTCCTGAGGAAGAGCCCTGCGCGCCTGCTGGACTGGCCTCTCGGGGATCCTCCCTTGCTCCCTAGGGCCCCACCACAATGCACCAGCCGGGCCAAGCTGCAGCTGGAGATACGGCTGAACGACGACGCTGGCACCGCCACCCACCGGAAGGTGCCCATCAGATAACAAACACGAGGACGCTCAGGCACATTGGGGTGCAGTGCACATTCTCCCCAGACACCGCTACCTCCGCCCTGGCCCACTCCTGGGCGAGGCTCAGCAGCTGGGCTCTGACTCCAGACCAGCTGCCCCCCCCGTAGAGAAGTCTGCCTTTAATTTAGAAGTTCTATTTCTTCCTCTGCGCAAAGTCTTTGTGGTACCAATTAAGGAACACTTTTATCCCCTCCTGTTCGAGGAGTGAGGAATTTGGGGACTTCCTAGAAAATGGGCCCCTTTTCTCACTTGTTACCAAGGCAGGGTGACTTTTTCTTGGGAAGGGCACCTGGTGGAGGCGCTGGCGGGTCCTCCTGGTGATTTGGAGGCTGGCACCTATGGGGGTGCCAGGCTCTGCGCTGAGCTACCTGCACGGTACCTCCTGCATCTTCCCAAACACCCCTCAGGGAGGCCATCGCCTTCGCAGTTTACAGATGGGGAAACCGAGGCTCAGTTTCAGGATGGAAGGGGTCCAGCGTAAGCAACTTGTCACTAAGTGACCGGTTGGTCTTTTCAAGTGTTCGTGTCGCACGAGGGCTTGGCACTGGGCACCTTTGCTGGCAGACTGGACATTCTGCAGAGGCGGTGGCTGCACCCACCTTGGTGAGTGCCAGCTCGTGGTTTTGTTTTTGTTTGTTGTTTTTTTGGCTCATAAACAGCCTCTACTCCTGTCACTGTGGCTACTCCTTTCATGAACCCATTTACCAGCATGGGGGTGCCAGCGACACAGGCCAGCTGACATTGCTGGGCCTGTTCTGTCTGCTTGGTTGTAGTGTCTGTTCCATGGCAGATGCTCTCTGATGGGAGATAACATGAGCTCAGAGATCACACTGCCCTTCCCCAGACCTTGGCCCATACCACCCTTCTGTCCTTTCTCTGTCCAGGCCTCCGGCCAAACAGCCAGCCGCCCGCCACTGCCCGCGCACCCAGATGGTCTCGCCTCGGTGCCTTCTTCCTGCGCAGACGCACGTCGGGGCCCCGCCCAGAGCTCTGCCGCTGGAAGCCGTCTGTCTCCTGTGAGTCTGAGCAGTGTGGACGCTTCGAGCCTGGAGACCCAGCGGGTAACTGGTAAAGTGGGGGCCGGTCCTGCTGAGCCGAGAGGTGGACCACCAGTCTGGAGAGTTCACCGGGGCCTGTCCCGGCCGGGGCCTCCCCGCGGGTCCGCTTGGGATGTCAGAGTGTGTGTGCTGTTCAGGGGGGACATTCAAGGCCTAGTGAGGGAGGGGGCCCGAGGGGAAGCTGGGACTTGAACCCCCATCTTCTGGCCCCAGGAGTGTGTGGGTCCCTCTGCCCTGGCTTCAGGTGGCCTTCTGGGAGGACTCTCCCCGACAGGGTCAGAGGTAGGCTGCCGTTCACTGGAGGCCCTGGCCTGGGTGGGGGCCCAGCACCCCAGGGGGTACTGCAGAGGCCTTGTGTGGGGGGCGGTCCCAAGGGCTGGCGTCCCTTCAGTAGAGCCTTCCTGGCTGCCCTGGGCCATGCCCCTGACCTTGTCTGACCAGCACTCTAGGGCCACAGCAGGACTTGTGCTGGGCTGGGTGGCCCCTGCATCCATCCTGGAAAAAGAGGAAGGTGTCTCCTAGGGCGTCTCATTACTCCCAGCGGCTGCCTCTGCCCCGGGGGCCAGGGCCCGATCCACCTCGTCAAGCGGGTGGGTGAGTGGGAGGAAGAGCGACAGCCCAGGCTGTATCTGGGAACAGGAAGGCTCCCCTCGGGGCTCTGCAGAGACCCGCCCGCCTCTGCAGCACCCCTCCATCCTCCAGGCTTCGCTGGTTGGGGGCACCTCTGCTTTCTAGCCCAGGTCACACCTTCCAGGGCCACCCCGGCCAGTGACTGGGCACGGGCTTGGTGCAAGGCCCGGACCTCGCTCACCGGCAGCCTTTGCCTCAGGCTCCCTGCAGGGCTGGCGGACATCTGTCAGGACTGTGGGCTGATGGCTCACCGCCCAGTCCTGCTCCCCGCCCCCCTGTCCTCTCACAGGTGTTACTTCTAATTCAGCTTTTTCGCTAACAGTTTTATTGAAATATGATTTACATACCATGCAAGTGACCCATTTGAAGCCTACAGCTCAGCGGTTTATAGTATATTCACAGTTGCGCAATCGTCACCATAGTCAATTCTAGAACATTTTCATCCACCCCAGGAGAAACCCCATACTCATTAGCAGGCACACCCCTTATTCCTCCTGAACCACACAGTCCCTGGAAACCTCTCGTCTGCTTTCTGTCTATAGATTTCTCATTCCTGGCATCGCTTCTTGCACGGAACATGATGTCCTCGAGGCTCATTCATTCATCGGTTTCTGGATGTTTGCGTCATTTTCACTTCTTGTCGATTATGAAGAATGCTGCTGTCACGTTTGTGCATAAGTTTTTGTTAAGACGTAATTTTGTTCTTACCTGACATGTAGACATAGGCGTGGAATTGCTGGGCCACATAGTAACTATGTTTAATCTCTCGAGGTCCTGCCAGGCTGTTCCCACAGGCGGCACGATGTCCGGGTCCCAGCGGCAGTGCAGGAGGCTCGGATTTCTCCACATCCTCGCCAGCACTTGTTGTTGTTAGTTTTCTTTCTTTTGGTCATTTTATTGGATGTGAAGTGGTAGGTCATTGTGGTTTTGATTGGCATTTTCCTGAAGGCTTATTGGCCCTAATCACAATGTTGCCATTTTTTTACTTCATCTCAGCTCTAATTTCCAGAGAACCCAACCTGCAGGAGAAAAGAGAGCCTATGGGTGTTGGAGGAAGCTGATGTCTCTGTCTCTGTCTCTTTCTCTCTGTCTCTTTTTTTCTCTGAGACTGCTCCTTTTTTGACCCACAGTTTCTGGGAACACATAGTGTTTGCAATTCTTTCTTTTTAATAAAAACACAAAAACGTCAGTTTGACAGCAAACCTTGGCAACTCTCCCCGGGGTTTTCTGGAGAATGACTACACCATGGGGTCTCGGCTCATCCCAGTGCGGCAGCCCCAGTGAGGAGGGGTAGGGCTGGTGTGGGGGTTCCCTGTGCCTGTAGCCCCAGTGAGGAGAGGCAGGGCTGCTGTGGGGGCTCCCTGTGCCTGGAGCCCCAGTGAGGAGGGGCAGGGCTCGTGTTGGGGGGCTCCCTGTGCCTGGAGCCCCAGTGAGGAGGGGCAGGGCTGCTGTGGGGGCTCCCTGTGCCCCTGAGGTGTTCTGTTTGTCACCATTCATTGGCTTCCTTTCCTGGGTTCTTCTTCCCTCCTCTGATGACTTCCTGTCGTTGGTCTTCTCTCTCCAACCAAGGCTGCACCGGGTTCTGTCGTCTGTGCCTCAGGGTGTGCCGGGCTGGACACAGCAGGACCTTGGCAGAGACTTGCCAGCGAGTAAAGCTTGAGGTGAGGTTGGGAATGTGATTGAGAATCACATCTGACGGCTCCTGGGCTGGAGGAGGGGGGCCCTGTCGGGCTGGGGCACACAAAGTCCCCGTGTCCAGGAGGGTAGGGTGACATGTGTGTTGCAGGTTGTAGTATAAGAAGAATATATCGGATGTTCATCCCTGGTTCCTGGCACGGGGCTCCTGAACCCTTGCTCTTCTAGGTGGTAGGAGTGTCTTTTTTTTCCCTAATGAGGCCTTTGGACCACACTTGAGTTTATGCTAATGAGGTGACTCAGGTTGGAGCCCCCAGGAAGCTTCAGGATGGGGGTTGTCACCAGAAAGATTAGAGGTTGGAACTTTCAGCCCTACCCCTGACCTCTGGGAAGGGGTTGGAGGTTGGGTTATAAAAACTGACATTCAGCCTGGCCGGTGTGGCCCAGTGGACTGAGCGTTGTCCCATGGACGGGAGATCCCTGTTAGATTCCTGGTCAGGGCACATGCCTGGGTTGCGGGCTTGACCCCCAGTAGAGGTTGTGCAGGAGGCAGCCGATCAAAGTTTCTATCTCACATCGATGTTTCTCTCTCTCCCTTCCTTTCTCTCTAAAAAAAAAAAAAAAATCAATAAAATATATCAAAAACAAAGACAAAAAAAGTAAGACATTTGGAGAGGTTGAGGTTGGTGAACACATTTAAAAAAATTTTTCCCCCTTTATTTATTTTAAAAAGAGAGGAAGGGAGAGAGAGAGAGAGAAGTAGAAACATCGATGAGAGAGAACATTGTTTGGCCGCCTCCTGCACGCCCCCCACTGGGGATCAGGCCCACAACCTGGGCATGTGTCCTGACCGGGAATCGAACCGGCGACCTCTTGGTGCAGGGGTCAGTGCTCAACCACTGAGCCACACCGGCCGGACTGGTGAACATGTTGCGTGCTGAGAGGGTGGTGTGCCCGAAGCGGGCACGGAGCCCTGGGCTGCCCCCACCTCACACCTTACCCTGGGCCTCTATCTGGCTGTTCCTCAGTTGTTCCCTTTATAATAAACAGTAGTCATAGGGAAGCCTCCCCCGAGTTCTCTGAGCCACCCCAGTGAATTACAGACCCTCCGGAGGGTGGCGTGGGGACCCCTGAACTCGTAGTTGCTGGGACACACGTGTGGGTCACCTGGGGACCCCATTTGCAGCTAGCATCTAAAGTGCGAGCCGTCTTGTGGGGTGAGCCCTGCACCTGTGGCGTCTGAAGCTGACGCCAGGTCGCTAGGGTCAGGGTGAAACTGAATTGTTGGACACCCAGTTGGTCTCAGAGAACTGGAGACCCGGAGTCAGGAGGAGATATCTAGGCCCTCGGCGAATATTTGTTGAATCAGTGAAGAATAATAGCTAACATAAATTAAGCAGCAAACCCTGTGCCCTGCGCCAAACGTTTTGCATTCGACAGTCACTCATGCGCAAAACCCTCTGAGTGAGCGCTGC